ATTTGCGTGGGGTTTGGGAGTATTTGAGCTTTCCGGGGCCTCCCTCGTCCTCTACGAGGGGGTGGAGTAGGGATTGTTACAGGAATCGTGACTTGCGTATTATTTGGAGGAATTTGAATTTTCCTGGGGCTCCCTCGCCCTTTATGAGGGAGTGGAACAGGAGTGGGTCGTGTATTTATAATCTGTGGAACATTTTGGGGTGCTGGGATTTTTCGGGGTCTCCCTCGTCCTCGACGAGGTGGAGTATGGATAGGCTAGGAAGGGAGGATTTGCATGAGTGTTGGTTGCGGTATTTGTTGGGTGGAAATGTAAGGGGTTTGTGAGGAAGGTTGGGAAATATCATTAATATCTTGACTCAAAAGGGGGTTATCGGAAGCTGAATCATCGAATTTTGGAGGGGGTCTGAAGGGTTTGAGATCTTTGATGTGGACTTTTGGAATGATATTTCCGGCGGAATCTGTTAGTTCATATACTACAGGGGAGAGAATTTTGGAAATTGTATAAGGACCTGAAAATTTTGGAGCTAGTTTGGATGCAAATTTGTGGGCGGCGGAGGAAAGGATTCGTTGGCGTCTCATGACGAGGTCACCGACTTGGTAACGCTCGTCACGACGCCCACGATTGGAATAGGACGCTTGGCGATAGGAGGCTTTTTCTAAGTTTCGGTGGACGATGTCATATAAAAGGGTTAAACGGGAAATGCGGTCGGACCATTCTTTGGGATATCGGGGAACTATTAGGCAATCTGATTTAATTTCGTGTCAGATATTTTGGATGGGGCCGGGGTTTCGACCAAAATTGCGGAACGCAGGGAATACGAGGGAAGAGGAATGTACGGCGGTATTATAGGCAAAATAAAACTCAGGAAGGTGTCTGTCCCAATTTCGGTGGTCTTCTCCAATAAACGTCGTGATCATGGTTTTGAGGGTTCGATTGACTCTTTCGACGGGATTAGCTTGAGCATGGTAGGGAGGAATTGTCATTTGTTTGATTCCGTACATCGTTAGTCTGTTCATCACGTCTCTGTTACAAAATTCTGTACCGTTATCTGTAAGGAGGAATTTGAGGCATCCCCATCGGTGGAGGACAAGGGACTCAAAAGCGGAAAAGATGGGTTTGGCGGAAGCTTTATGGAGGGGTTTTAATTCAATATATTTTGTGAAGAGGTCTTGGAAAACAAGGAGATATTTATTTTGGGATTTACTAGGAGGGAAGGGACCCATAATATGAGCAGCCACGACGGTCCAGGGCGCCTCCACCGGGCGCTCCCTCATCAACCCCGCCGGTGGCCGCTGCAGAACTTTACTTTGTTGGCATTGGAGACACCGTCTGACAAATTGGACCACGTCCTGGAACATTCCAGGCCAATAGAAGTCCTGCGTCAGACGATGATAAGTTTTATCGATGCCAAGGTGACCGGATTGGGGAGGATCGTGGGCGTCGGAAAGGGCTTTGGAACGGGAGGAAGGGGGGAGAACTAATTTCCACCCGTCAAGGCCGGGGACTATGGGATCTAGGAGGGGATTGGGGTGGTGGTAGTAAAGTCTATTGTCTACAATTGTCCAGTCGGGATATTTGGAGAGGAAATCACTAACATCGCGAAGTTTATTGGAGTACCATGGATCGGGATCGTTACCGACGGCGGCCATGCCGTCCATGGGGTCGCCATACATTCGGGAGATTGAAGCGTCAATGCCAACCGGGCTAATCGTCGAGTAGGGTCCTTAAGGTGGTGAAGCCACCGAAGACTATTGTGGTCCGTCACCACGATGATTTCGGACCCTTCAATGTATGGACGGAACTTTTGGGTCGCCCACACGACGGCCAGACACTCCCATTCTGTTACGGAGTAATTTCTCTCTGCTCGGGTAAGGGAACGACTAGCGTAGGCTATCGGGTGCTCTTCACCGTCTACGGTTTGTACGAGAACTGCCCCGATAGCCGTATCGCTAGCGTCGGTTTGGAGGGAAAAGGGAAGTGTAAAATTGGGACGAGCCAAGACAGGAGTTTTGATGAGGGCATTTTTCAGGGTTTCAAAAGCGGATTCTTGCTCGGGACCCCATTCCCAAGCAACATCCTTTTGTAGGAGACGGATAAGGGGAGTTTGATCTTTGGAAACATCTTTTAAAAATCGGGAATACCATTTGACCATTCCAAGGAAACGTCGGAGTTGTTTAAGGGTTGTGGGAGGAGGGTAGGAAAGGATGGGTTCTATTTTTTCAGGATCGACTATCATGCCGTCTTTATTTATTAAAAAGCCGAGGTATCGAACCTCGGAACAACAAAATTCGCTTTTTTCGCGGTTTATTGCTAAATTTGCTTCCCTCAATCGGGTTAAATCTTTCACGAGCCATTCTAGGTGTTCCTCGTACGTCTCGGTCGCGATTACCACGTCATCTAAGTACGCGAAAATATGCGGTTCCCAATCGGGGGTGATTAATTTGTCCATGATAAGTTGGAACGTTGCGGGGGCGTTGGTGAGGCCGTAGGACATATGGGTCAATTGGAAAAGGCCTCTACCGGGGACGGCAAAAGCGGTAATTTCTTTACTGGAGGGATCAAGGCGAACTTGGAAATAGGCTTGGCTAAGGTCTAATTTGGAAATGTAACGGGCAGTTCGGAGGCTATCGAGGATACGGTCCATGCTAGGAAGGGGATAGGCGTCTTTTTTAGTGACTTTATTAACGTCAGAGTAATCTATACAGAATCTATAGGAGCCATTGGGTTTGGGGATTAGGACGGGACGACTGCACCAAGCACTAGAGGAGGGTTCAATGATACCTGATTGGAGCATGGAATTTACTTCTTTTTGTGCAGCCTCTAAAACACGGGGAGCCATGCGGCGAGGACGTTGTTTGATAGGAGGGTGGCCTTGAACATCAATGGAATGGGTAACAAGAGGGGTGGTTCCTAAGGTGGAGGATGGGGGTGGAATGAGGTGGTCAAGCAGGGTTTGAACTCCCGAGATTTCCTCGGGACTTGCTTCGGAGAGCCCTGCGCAAGCGGGGTTCATGGGGAAGGGATGGGTTAGGGATTCGAGATAAAAGGGGTGAAGAGTCCGCCACGTCCTTAGATCTCCGTCCATGGTTACTCCAAATCGAGTAATGAAATCCATTCCTAGGACTACCTCATACCCCAGTGACTCGCTTGCGCGAAGGGGGAGGTTATGGATTTCGTCATCGATCTGGATCGCGACGGTGACTTCTCCGAGGATTCTCTCTTTCACATTGTTGGCCAAGATCATGCAGGCTTGGGAAGGGGTTAAGTGGGATTCGAATAATTGTGCAATTTTGGGACCTGCATAAGAATGGGTTGCGTCCCATCCCCTCCCCAAAACCATCCCGCGACGGTCTCGTCGTCGCAGCAGCGACGGCGAACCGTCATTGAGCCCTAGGCTATCCGATATAGAAAGCGTATAGAGATTTGTCAAAAGCGATTTGTGAAGAGATTTTGTAGAAGCGATTCATAGAAGCGAGAAGTGTGTGTGTTGGCGTGTGCGGAGTGCACGGTACAGTAAGTCCATTTCGTATTACGATTATAAAGAGTGAGTTCGAGGCAACGGCAACCTTCGCCCGCGTGCGTTCACACCCGCGTATTGTTCCGATTCTTCAAAGATTTCTACGTTTTGCGAAGCCCCTTGTCCAACCCCTGTCGTTCCTATCTACACTAATCCTCCTACGTGTAACGTATACGGACTTTCCTGAGAACCCTTTCTCCTACCCTGAGATATCTCCCGGGCCTAGACAATCCTCCCAGCGTACTCCCCCACGGAATATTGTACGGACGTAAGTGCCACGAGTCCCATCCCCTGTAACGACCCCAAGTATACCCCTTCCCCTTTTCAGTTTTGATTGCCACCGCGAGTGGCTGGCGCCCAGTTTTGTAACGAAAGCGTTTAGTGAACCCCCAAATCGGGTCACAAATTTGGTCCGATTGATGCGGGTCACAAATTTACTCCCATTGATGCGGGGCATCAGCGAGATCCACCGGTCGTACGATGTCCTATTCTGTCGTAACGAAGATGGGTACTCCATTGCCCTGCCTCAGCGCGACCCCCAGACCAAATTGCCCCTCAAAAAAACAATCTCCGCATCGAGCTTCTACTCCTACCGCATCATGGTTAGGCAAGGGGAAGTCAATCTCTTGGTGTACTTCCGTTCCCTCTTTAGTCAATTTTTGGTTGACATGTACGCCAAAATAGAAACTGAAAGGCTGAACTACATTAGGAACAACCAGGCGCAGCTAAGCACAGCTACATTCACCTGAGGGACGCCGCGGGGAGGCAGGATGCTTACCTTCCTCAGCTGGGTCAAATGGTGGTGCTTCCGTCATCCTTCACTGGAGGACCTCGCTACATGCATGAGCGGACACAAGACGCTATGACACATGTCCGCTACCACGGCCGTCCCGATATGTTCTTCACCTTCACCTGTAACCCCAAGTGGAAGGATATCACAGATGTACAGGAATGCTTCAAAATAAGCAAGTGACTCGGGACCGAACAGTTGCTTATTTCGAAGCAGGTTGCTATTCGGCTTGACTTTGTTCTCGAAACGGGACGATAGAGAATGCGAGAAACGAGTGAGGGATCCGAGGTAGCGGCAAATCAGCCGAGCAGCGATGTTATTTTTTGAACAAGGAAAGAATATAGCATACCCTCTTATTCTCGCACTATGCTTTATTTCGAAGCAAATATACCCGACTGGGAAAGCATTATATATATTCTATCCTTCTTTTACTAACCGCTGTCACTGCTCAGTCAAGCGTGAAATTTATTACCCTAAACGTCGGCTTCGCGCTTTCAAGGACCTCTCACTCATTTCTCGTACCTCTCACTTTGCGGGCGACTTCAAACAAAAAAGAGGGGATAGCGAGTTGCTTATTTCGAAGCAGGGACCACTTGCTTATTTCGAAGCATTACTGTACTGCTGCCTGGGCAAAAATCTCACGATCGTCACGACATTATAGCTAGGGTATTCCATCTCAAGGTGAAGAAGATAATGGCTCTTTTGAACAAGGGTAGTCTGTTTGGAAACGTGCAATGCTTCATGTACTCAGTGGAGTGGCAAAAGCGACGTCTGCCTCACATCCACATCTTGCTGTGGCTAGAGCAGCGTATCTTCCTTGACATGATCGACAAAGTCATCTGTGCCGAAATACTTGACCCCGTGCAAGATTCTCTTCTCCAGAACATCGTCAAGGCCAACATGATTCATGGTCCCTGCGGGGGCTTAAACCACCATTCGCCCTGCACGAAAGGAGGCAGCTGTAGCAAGAGGTACTCCCGGCTGTTTCTCAAGGACACTCAGACAGGAGACGATGGATACCCGCAATATCGGAGGAGATCTCCAGCTGATGGTGGCCTCCCCGTAAAAATCAATGAGATAGAGCTGGACAACTGCTGGGTGGTGCCATACAACCCTGTCCTGTTACGTATTTTCAATGTTCATGTCAATGTGGAATTATGCAACTCTGTCAAGTCCATCAAGTACATTTGCAAGTACGTGAACAAGGGCAGTGACCAGGCGGCTTTTGTCGTGGAAAGTGAGAGGGATGAGGTGAAGTTGTACGAGAGTGGGCGATATATCAGCAGCTCAGAAGCGGTTCGGAGAATCTTAGCATTCCCCATTCATGAGAGGTACCCCACTGTGTTCCATCTTGCTGTTCACCTCGAGAATGGTCAACGTGTGCACTTCAACTCCAAGAACTTGGCTGAGAGGCTCAGCAACCCACCTCAGACAACACTCTTGGCTTTCTTCGAGCTATGCAAAACTGACGACTTTGCACAAACCCTTCTATATTCCGAGGTCCCTTCTTACTACGTGTGAAAAAATAACAAGTTCGAGAGAAGAAAGCGGGGGATGGATGTCGTTGGCTGGCCAGGAATAAAGAAGGACCATGCGCTGGGAAGAGTGTACACGATCCATCCAAACGACACCGAGTGTTATTATCTTTGCTTGCTGCTACATGAGATTAGAGGTCCAACATCCTTTTCAGATCTGAAGACTGCGAATGGTGTCCTCCGCTCCATATTCCAGTCTACATGCAAAGCATTAGGTTTGCTGGAAGATGACAAGCACTAGGACACTACCTTGGAGGAAGCTGCCTTGTGTGATTCCCCCTTCAAGCTGCGAGAGCTCTTTACAGTGATGTTGGCGTTTTGTCAACTTTCCGATCCTCTGAACCTTTGGAAAAAGTACAAAGACAGCCTCTCAGAGGACATTATGTGACAGGTGGAGAGAGAGTTGCAAGGCAGTGCGCAGCAGGTGATGGACGAGGTGTGCAACAGATGCCTAGTGCTGATTGAGGACGCAGTGTTGGTTTTGGGAGGATAAAGGTTGCACCAGTACGGCCTGCCTCAGCCAAAAGGTCTGGAGGAGATTTGGGGAACCGAGACTATCTGAGAGAGACCAACTACGACATAAACGCTTTGGCACAAGCGCTGTCGAATAACGAGGGTTTGCTGACAGATGAGCAACTCGCTGTCTATCGGCAGGGCCTTAGCAGCGTTGAGTCAGGTGCTGGTCACGCCTTTTTCCTGGATGCTCTTGGGGGTACTGGGAAGACCTTTCTCATCAACTTACTCCTGGCGAAGGTAAGGAGTGATCGTGGCATCGTCTTGGCTGTTGCATCCTCTGGCATCGCTGCTACGCTGTTGGAGGGAGGTAAGACCGCTCACGCTGCTTTTAAGCTGCCCCTCAATCTCATGAATGTAGAAACACCCCTGTGCAACATTTCAAAACAAAGCAACATGGTCCAAGTGCTGCGGGACTGTCAGCTTATTGTTTGGGATGAGAGCACCATGTCACATAAAAGAGGATTTGAGGCACTGAGCACAACCCTTAAAGACATTAGAGGCAACGATGGACTGATGGGGGGAGTCACCGTGCTGCTGGCTGGAGACTTCCGACAGACTCTGCCAGTAGTGCCAAGGGGAACTCGAGCTGATGAGGTTAAGGTATGTATCAAGGCATCACGTCTATGGCCTCTTATCTAGAAACTCTCTCTCAGAAAGAACATGAGGGTATACTTGAGAGGCGATATCTCCGCTGGGCAATTTTCTGAACTCCTACTCAAAATAGGGGATGGAAAGTATCCCGAGTCTGAGGGAAAGGTGATTATCCCTGAAGGCCTAGGCTCAGTAGTGACAACTCTAGCAAACTTATTGTCAAAATATACCCTGATATCGCCGACATCAAGGAGAAACCTATGGACTGGCTTTGCGAGCGTGCCATTCTGACCCCTAAGAACGACAAAGCTGGAGTCATTAATGACACTCTACTCAACTCATTCGACGGGGTAGAAATGGAGTACAGGTCTGTGGACTCGGTGGTACAAACGGATGACGCGGTCCACTACCCCGTGGAGTTCCTCAACACCCTGAACCCTCCTGGCTTACCAGCCCACAAACTTCTCCTCAAAGTGCGTGCTCCAGTGATGTTGCTGCGAAACCTCAATCCGCCTAAACTCTGCAATGGCACCAGGTTGCGAGTAAAGGTCCTCCACCGGAATGTTATCGAGGCCACAGTGTTCACCGGCTGTGCTCGAAGAGATTCGGTGCTTATACCACGCATACCACTCATACCATCAGAGTATCCTTTGCATTTCAAAAGGCTGCAGTTCCCCCTCAAGGTCAGTTTTGCTTTGACCATCAACAAGTTCCAGGGTCAGTCGCTGAAGTTAGCAGGGATTGACCTAAGTGAGGACTGTTTTTCACATGGACAGTTTTACGTGGCCCGGGTGAGCTCATCCACAGCCTGGTGATCCTAGCACCTAAGGGGAGAACCACAAATGTGGTCTATAAAGAGGTCCTCAAGTAAAAAAAAAGGTCGTAGATATTTTTTGCGTAATTTGTTTCACTACGATCTTCCCTTTTTTATTTCTTTACCAAATGTAATATTTCGAATTCCACTTCACCGTTTCTTTCCACATTAACATGCTTTGCTTTATTCAAATCTATATATAGTCTTTTTTTATTAGTTTTCATTTACTTTTGCAAACACCTTCGCGTAGCACTGTACTATTATATCACAAAACCATAAATAACTTTAAACATCTACCATATGATCTCAAAAAATAGGCACGCAATACAACTGAAGTTCATTGGAGATAAAATGGATTAAAAGCAATTAAATACCGGAGAAAAGCATGAGTATTAAGCCATTTTTCTTTATAGTGGAATAAGTCTAATGCGGAAACCACTAAAAAAAAAAACGCATTCACAATAGAACCTCAAGGGGGATGCGGAAATCTATTGGCGTTAAATGCAATATACGCTATCACCTATTTGCCCTACATGTACTCCGGGGCGAAGGCCCGGGTAACCAGCTAGTACTTCATACGAGTCGCCTTGTGACGGTTTATCCCCGTCGGTGGATGCCGACTCAGTCGGTTGGCCGGGGGACTCGAGAATGAGTAAGCTGAGACGAGCGTGTATGTGTATAAAGGGGCTTTATTCTAATGATATATGTACAAGCACTTATCCTACAGCCCTAGGGTTCCTTACAGTCTAATCGCGCTCTTATTACTAACGGCTTACCTCTACGCGGCTTATACCTATGGCTTATGAACTAACGGCGCGGTTCGGTTCGGCGCGGTCACGGGCCGGCGATTCGGTGCGGTGCAGCGGTTCGGTCCGGCGGATATCCGGCAAGCGTATGGTCCGGCCCGGCGGTCAGGAAGCCGTCTGGGGGTATCCCCAACAGTGGCTGGCGGAACAGTGATGCTTTTGGCGGCGGTCGCAAACGCGTCTCGTCGCCGAACACTGCTGGAGGAGAGAGTGTAAGGTATTCCAAAAATAAGGATCAGTCTCGCTGTGTCGCATTCAGTGGGATACGCTCGGAGAACCGATCTGGCTTGACTCGGCTCGCGCCGCGGTATATAGCTCCTCGCGAGACCGTTTACCTCGCGGGTTCGCGATCCGCGCGGTCGCCACCTGTTGTCGGCGTCGGTACTAGGCGCGAGTCGGCGGTGGTACGGTTGCGGGCCCGCAGGGGCTCGCGAGTTCGCGGCCTCTCTCTATCTATTTCCTTACAGCCTTCTAAGGGAACCGCTCTCCCTATACGTCGGTGCAGTGACGTACCTATTCTGGGACGTTACACGCATAAGAGGAAACTTCTTCAATTCTCAAGATTTTTAATATCCGTTTTATCCAGCTAATTCAGAATCGTTTGTAGTTGTTTTTTGTGATTTACCGTTCGTTTGTAGTTGAATAGATTAAAAGTTACAGGCGAATGTTTATACGCATAAGAGGCAACTTCTTCAATTCTCAAGATTTTTAATATCCGTTTTATCCAGCTGTGACGGGTTACCGCCGGGGGTTTGCCGGCTAAGCCGGTAAGTCCGGGGTTCAGGCGAACGAATGAATAAAAGTCGATGGTTAGTGGGTAAAATAATAATTATATTTCCTTAACTGTAAGTACAAGCTAACTAGAGACTACCGTCCTGGGGTCCTATCAATTTAAGTGACTTAACGACTACGGCGGCGCGGTACTTATATCTACGGTTCCTTATGTCTACGGTTACTTATGGTTACGGCGCGGTACTTAATCTTGCGGTAATATTATCGGTGGTCGCGAGACGGTTACGGCGCAGCACGGTCGCGTTTTCTACAGTTCGGAGCGGCGGAGATAGCGGGATATGCTGGGTAGGTCGTTTGATGCCTTCATGGGTGGACGGCCGTAGACACAACCCGTCCTGTACCCAGGCAGTAAGAAGACCGTGATCCGGTGGACGCCGTAGAGACGTATACGCCCGGTCCGGCGGTCGGGAAGCCGCCGAGAGAGAACTCTCTCGGCCGTGACCAAGGAGACAGCGGACTGTATCGGAGGACGGCCGTAGACACAACCCGTCCTGCCGAACGCTGCTGGAGGAGTGTTCGGATTCCAAAAATGAAGTTGATCATATCTCGTTGTCGCTCGTCGTGAGACTTGCTTCGGAGGATAGATCTGCTTCTATCGCCTCGCGGCCCGGTATATCAATAATCGCGAGGCCAGTTGCCTCGCGAGTTCGCGGTGCGCGCGGTCGCCACCTATCGGTGGCGCCGGTACTAGCGCGCGCTGGCGGGGCCCGCGGTTTCGCGGCCTCGTACCCCTTACACAGCTAATGCAGAATCGTTTGTAGTTGTTTTTTGTGATTTCCCTTTCGTTTGTAATTGAATAGTTTAAAAGTTACAGGCAATTGTTTATACGCTTAAAGGGGCAAAGTAGTTGTTATATGCGGATTCCAAATCACTAGCGTCACCTTTTTTTTTGTTGACTCAGCAGTAATTTGACACCGTCAGCATAAATGTGCTACCCCCACACCCCATGACCTTGAACTGAAATTTGACACCACCGTCAGCAGAAATATGATACCCCCCGACAAGCCCCACCCCTCCCCCGCCCCATAACCACCCCCTTAGCAGAAATATCCACCCTATGACAACCCCCTCCCCATAACAACCCCCTCAGCAGAAATACCCACCCTAAGACAACCCCCACAACCATCAGCAGAAATATGATACCCCACCCCCATGACCTTGAACTATTTCTGTCTTATCGAAGGACGACACAAGGCCCCACCGACTTTTTCTATGCCTTGGAAATGTGATTTTTTGTTGGCGCAGCAAATCTGACGCTGCAATTCGCGACTATAGAAGGTAGAGGTTTTGCTCATGACCTTGAACGAGTTTTTCTACGTCTTGGAAATGCGGTGTTTTTTGTTGACGTTGCAGAGTGAACAGCAATTAAACACCTTCGTCGATGACAGCCCCACTTTAATAAAATGGGAGAAAATTGGCAATGTGCGTCATATGTAGTTTGACAATTAGAAGTGCAAGGATATTTAA